CACATTTCAAAATACGTAATTTAAAATTTTGTGACGATTTGGTTCCGATTTCATTGATATTACAAGACACTATAAAAAACATTTCGCATTAGCATTGGCGTTAAACAGACAAGCAATCTGAAAAAAATAAACACGTGTAATCACTCCATATTTTTTTAAATTTACCTTTGTACAGGGGAAACAAATCAGGGTCTTCCAGTACCGCAACGAAATTCTGATATTTCGAAGATGCGTCTGGCGTTTGATTGATTACTTTCTTTTTAAACGACCTTACCAGTGGCATAGTAATAGATACCGTGTGCCAGATCATAAAGAAAATCCATGAAAACATGAAGCTGCCAAAATATTGACGCACTGTTTTAGCAACTAATTCTAAAATAAAATATCCTACGCATGCGCTCGCTCCGCAGACCATTGCTATATACAATTCTCTCTTCAAGCCGAAAGCGTCTCGGATGTCGTGAAGTAAATAACAAAGGAAGGGACATATGATTGCAAGGAAAATTACAACGACCGAGGTTATAGGAAGCGATCTAATTGTGATAAAGATAGATATATTGAGTTCTTGGTCACAAAAAGGATAACTAAATAATACACTTAGATACGTACGAAGTAGCAGTCGTCGGACAAACAGTCTTAACCTTTCCAAAACCGAGTTCGGGCGAAAAAGCTTGCACGATTAGCGCCATAACAATGGAAAAGCCGACTACCGGATAGATGATTCTTTCTGCCAACCATTTATCGGTCGCTGCGTGTCTCCATTTCCTTACTCTTCTCAGGATCAAAGGTTCTTCTTCTCTATCACCCACATCTAATCTATACATTTTCCCGCCCCCGTTCACTGCTCGCTTTTTTCCGTCCCGTAAGGAATCAAACGTGCCCTCATATGAATTATTTCTATATACAGTATTTATTTGTAACTTTGCCAAATTGAACCTGGCAGTCCATACGAATGAAAGCGCGCGACAAGTAATGGCAGAACACCATAAACAATATCCAATATGGACCGGCCAATGGATGAGGATACATGGAAATTCGTTCGGATAGAATGCAGTTCGTAGGCAATACATTACGCATAGCATGATCGTTGCAAAGGCGCTTAGGAGATTTAAACGAAGAGGACGGTATTTAAAGTCATCTATCTTATGTCGTCGGATATAAAAGAACGTTACAGTGAGAGTGAGATAGAAGAACGTAAGGACAGCGAGAGAGACATAAACGACTAATCGCCATGTTGGGGGCATGTTGATAAGGGTGAGAATAGCGTTCCCGGTCGTTAATATATGATTGTTTGTTTGCTTTTTTTTTTAACTTAACCCCAATTATTTTTATTATCTTTCACTCGGGGTCACTCTCGGCATCATTTATCGTTTTGGATTCTATGGGGCGACTCTTATGTACAAGTGCCATCGGGAATGTGTGATTCTTCATTAGTAATCTGCAATTCTGACTTTGGAAGCAGTCATTACGTTTACTTGATGATCTATAAAAAACTATTGTCGCGATGTAGCAGTGTGTCATAGTAATATACTTAATGTCTCTCACATTGATAATCTGTATCCCTTTCGGTGTGTATATAATGAAGCCTTAGGTACAGCAGATCGATCGCAGGATTCTTGCATTCGTCTATCGCTATTGGTCTATTATTCTTCCTAATTAATTGAGGGACAGCATTCCAAAATTCGATTGGATAATGCACTGATCTTTGGCCAACGCAGCACTAGCAGATTATACAGTACACATATCGAAGAATGTATCATCACTATTTCGTATTATTAGTGTTTTCAACTTATATAGAGTTCCCGACTTATTATAATTTCTCGAAATCACACAAATTTCTCGTTTAGTAAACTCCGGTACAGGTTTATTCCTTGCAGATCATTTTACTGTGTTACGGCCATATGACTTAGATTGGTTCTCGCATACTCACCGTATCGACATATAATATTTCATAATCACAATAAGTTAGTATCGCTCTTTGTAACAGAATAATAACCCCTGAATGGCATCAGAGACAGTCATTACAAATATAAAGATAAGGATAATTTATTAACGCTAAGGATTAGACTTTGACTGACTGAATGATTCTTTGTATCGAGGCCTTTTAAAATCAGCCGATTCAAGTTGAAACCAGGATAATGACCTGCTTTTAGACGATATCATGTACTGATGCAGTAGTTCCCATATTAAAGTCTGGGAATTCGCACAACATACTGTAACAAATTGAACGTTCGATCAGGGTCTGCGTGAAACCGTCCACTGAATCATGGGAAAACTTGCACCAATAATTGGAACGGTTCGATTACGGATGTTCCGATACAGAATAAATGTCGGGAATCTAGAATTTGAACAGAATAAATGTTGTTGGAATCTAGAATTTGAACAGTATTTTTATTTAAAAAAGTCGCATATAGTGTCGAGCTGCAGAGTCGGCGAGCTTTTGAAATGAGCGAGAACAAAAGTCCGAACGAGCTGCTGCTGTAATAGAAGTAAGGGGCATTTCACTAATTAATAGTGTCTTGTAATATCAATGAAATCGGAACCAAATCGTCACAAAATTTTAAATTACGTATTTTGAAATGTGAAAAATTAATGACGCGAGGAAACATTTCTTTGAGTTACATTATAACAAAGTTTCAACATAAATTTTAATCTTTGACGTAAGCTTTCGATATTTATCCAAAGTTGTACACAAATATCGTGTGAACTTATTATACCATGGCTGATCGTGTTAATAAGAAATTTGGTTTACTTTTAAGTTCAATCGGTCACTTCTGTCCGAGCACCGTGCTACATGAAAAGTGCGGGGTCGTTCACAATCATGACATGTGAGCCATTCAAGAATACAATAAAGTATGGAACAACTGTAAATATTAATATCGCAGCATCACACTTGAATTTAGTATGTCCTGGTACCATAAGATTTAATTCGATACTTTCATAATAGTCGCAAATTACCAAATACAGATAAAATCAAATGGTACCATTACAGTCGACTACTGTATATAGTCACACCCATTTGGCAGCTGGTTTATGGGGATTATACAGAGGAGATTATAGAACTACCCCAGGATCAAAAAATCTACTGCAATTTAATTTTATGTTAAACTCAAATCTTACATATAGAACAAGTAAGTACGATAAATACACACTATTGCAAAAACAAATTTTAATTGGCATGGCAATATTGTATTATAAATAATTAATATTATGGCAACTAAAACCAATAAACCAAAACAATTAAATTTAAATTCTTTGTCAGTAGCGAAGTATTTTTATCAAAAAGGATTTGAAGATTATGGTTTGATTTAAGTCAAAACTTTCTTTATCTTACTTATCTAGAAACCCTAACTAAAGGGCGTTCGGTATAATAAATGCAGCATCATCGGTTACGTGTATAAGCTTATGTACATAATTACGCATATTGTATTGTAACATGTTTTGTCAAAATAATCACAAACAATTATCTTCATACCATGTTATAAGTGTAATGACTCTGTCATAACTAACATGCTCGCATGATTTTGAAATTTTCTAATTTTGGAAAATTGCGTTGATTTACTATAACCAACACTATGTTTTGTCAAAGAATAAATAAGACATAAAGAAATGAATATATGTCACGACATTACCCGTCCAAAATGGTTATCTATATCGACAAAACTCGTCAACAAAATTCATTATATGATCTCATTTTTAAACAGATAATTGTTTCAAGGCAAAAATTCTCTCATTGGGTTAAAAACTCCAAGTTCTCTGTCGTTGCAGTCATTTTTTCTCATTACCTGTATAACACATTCTCTGAACATCCAGCGCGAAAATGAAAAGTGCGCAAACGTGTCGTATACAAATAGTGTGATCGTTTTGATTTCCAAAAGTGGTCTTTCTCTTCATCAATATCCCAAACGGTTGGTGTAATCGTATGGCCTTCCCCTCGATATTTTTTCCAGTAATGAGTCGACGTTTATCTATTGTCCAGTCAACCGCGCCAAACGACAGAAAAACTACAATACAAGGTAACAAATCTCTCGAAAAATGACGTAACTGACCCCGCGAATATTACATCATAGCAATAGAGACTAAAGATAATTTGCCCGCTTGGTTTATCAGCGATAAGAATAAAAGTGTTACATAAAATGTTACAAGACATTTATTCAGACGCACACAGTCTCTGACAAGCCCGCTGCTTAAAAAAGTGTATTTCATTGCGTAATGGTTATTTATCTCCCAAAACACACGTACATTGTCATAGATAATGTTTCCCGGCAAATTTTTGCGTAATTATATCTTGACGTGTACAAGTAAAAAAATTTTACTTTGCCTTTCAACATAATAAACTTGTAAATTTTCTCTAATTTCTCGGGGGACATTTTTTTCGTAATCTCCTTTATGTTCAACTGAAAGAATTAGTTTTTTAACTCCTGATTCTCGAGCTATACACAAAAAAGAAATCTCACCATATAGTGTATTTAATAATATATCATGATTTCTTACTGTATCGGACATTAATAAATTACACAGTGGTCAATATCCACCACAAATTTTTGTCTGCTGTTGCAAGACCCAAAATAAATAATGTAATGTGCGTACATTTATAGCATCTCGTTATGAGTTCATTACTTTACAGATAACAATTGTCGCATTTATTAACTTCATAAGCTATTAATTTTTTTTTTTTTGCTCGCAGGTCTAAGCAAGTACGGTAAGTTGCCATTTCAAAGTTTGTTAAACTTATTCTACGCGCAAAGACTCAGATAAATTAATATAGCAAGCAGTACAAGGGACTGCTAATTGCGTTTTGAAAAAAATATTTCTTTGTTTTAATATCTCAATACACGCAATATTACTTGAATACAAAACTCGGTTTGCCAGCGTCAGTCGTTGGATTAGCTTCTTCACTACACGGACGAAGTCATACCTGCAATCAACGGTTTCCAAATTTGCATTGTTGTAGAGTAATTGCTCACACTTAACAGAAGTGCTTGTAAATTATTTCTATTACACTTTTTCCAGAAACAACATTATAAACTAAAACACTGAGCATCAAATAATTTTTCGAGCTTGGCATGTCATCGATTGGATTGCACCCAAACAAGTATAACAGTTAGTCCAAATAAACGCCGTTTTATCGTAACAAGCAGGGCGCGCATATAGTCTCGATATACCACAACCATCATAATAAGAACGTTTCTTGCTCTAAGCGCTAATTAAAAATAAGTACCAGGTCAGTTTTTCTACATTTTGCTCGTCATATACGTGATCGTTGTTCTTAAGTCATGTTACATCGCAAACCGCAGTTCGGCGAAAGAACATCATTTCACGAATTACTAACAATGTCACGTACGCGTGATACTAAACAATAACATTACAGATAATAAAACAAAGCATCGCTTATCAATAACGTTCGCGTTAATAATATATTGCATATTTTTCAATAGGACAAATAAATTGCTCATAATCAATCATTTTTACGCCAGTTGGAAGTGCCTCAAATTTCAAGTTACGTTCCATAGTATCTAACTTTTCTTCAGAATACAAGCAAACCCAATAGAGATGTACGTGTGGCTTAAAATAAGTTAAAGTTAGAACAATTGAACTCATTTACACTTAGTCAATGAATAAATAAATCATGGTAATACTGATACTTACACTGATAGCAAATTCTATAATAACATTATCTTCAGACGAAATGTTAACCGTGCATGGTAAAATGTATTCAGCGTAGTTGTTACGCTCAATGTCCGTCTTATATTGTATGTCTTCAGTCGATGTTCTTATTGTTGTCTACAAAATCAATATTTATATTATTAATGTTTATCACATAATTAAAGCTGCAATCAACAATACTTATTATTATCTGATACTTACTATAATCGTAATTCTCGTTGAACACTCCATCATAATGCTAAGTTTATATTTATTTGGAGGTACTTCGAATATGGGTATTGTTACCTAATATATAATTGGTTTTAGTTAATGTTCACATTGTATACAAACGTTAGACTATTTATATTGTATTATTATAATAAAAAACGCCTACTTTATTGTCTGCATAAAGACGCAAATGTCCCTGATAATAAGGACTATAAATGGTACAAGTTAATGTAGCACAGTTATAATAAATAGTCAACTATAAAATTACATACCCATAACATTTATCAGTATATTCAATATGACTTTCATGCTTGAAATGTGCTTTCAAATGACCTAAACATGGTAAGTAGTTTAGTATGCATAATATATATAAATTATCAGTCAACTGTCCACCTTACTTTTGTGCATGTAATAAACTTTTTCAAAAAACGCGTTCATGCGCGTGTGATTATACCAAGTATTGTTATACTTCTTATACCAAGCTGCAGCACTATTGTACCATCTGGTGTAATCCTCTGCTCCATACTGATGGTTACACAATAATTGCCATTGATTAATATTATCCATCTCATACATTGCTTTATAAGAGCAACTGTCCACAAGAATTTTAAACCATTCCACATCATCAGAACTTTTAAATTTGTTTAAATATTCATTAATAACATCAAATGCCTTCTGCTGCACATATAAACACCTAATATATCCAACATCTTGTTCAGCTTCTTTCTGATGTCCCAAGCTTAAATGCGCCTGTAGACTCAAATACCAAGCATCACTAGAAACCTTGTTTACTTCAATTGCTGTCTTACTATGAAACAGGACTTTTCCAAAATTTTTCTTATCTAACTCAATCATTGCTCTATTACACAATGCCATGTAATTTGTAGAATCAGCTTGTAATATTTGTGCATAGATATTCAAAGCCTCATCTAACTCCTTGTTTTTATATGCTGTTTTAGCTTTCTGAAGTAATTTGTTTATGTTTGGTGCTGTTAATGACTTCCATATAGAATTCCATGCAGATCCAGAACCATACTTTTTCAATTTGTTCTTTCTTTTTTGTTTTTTAATGTCATCACTCTCATCAAATAGTTTTGCATCTGTGTTATTTCCAGCATGATAATTAGCATTATAAGTGTCTTGACCATTAATGTCTGTAATATGTGTGTAATGTTGAACATTATTGTATATAGTCTGTTGTGGCATATAATACACTTTATCCTTTCTTATTTCACTTCTGCAGTAAGGACACTCTAGGTTGTTTAATGATAACAAAGCCTTTGAGCTAAGAATGTGTTGGCAATTAAGCTGATAAAAGTCACCAACTGTTTCACAGACAATAGCACATGTAAGATCTTCTACAATACAGTCAATTGGGCTTTTTTCAACACATTTCCCTTTTCCTTTGTCTTGTTTCTTATTTTGAGAATTTGTCATTGTTTCACTCAGTGAGTATTTTGAAATCATTTTTGATTCAACTTCCAATTTTCTTTTTAGGTAATGGTGCATGCTAACCATTTTTGGTATATACTTCTCATCACAACTAGCAATGTCATCAGATGTTGTAACAAAAAATTTACTATTTTTGGTTTCAAGACTCAATAACACTTCAATGGATTTGAATTGAATAAATTCTGTAGCTGCATTATTCAATGAGTCTAAGGCAATGTAATAACAAATTGCTTGTGTAGTTGTAGAAAGTGTTTTATGGATAAGTTGTTGAATAATATCCAAGATGCCAAACCAGAGTTCATCACTCACATCCTGATTCTCTGCTGCATCTTCAGCATAGCATAAACTGATATGATACCAGAGATACTCAAGAAGCACTCTTTCTTTGAAACTTGTTGAGATAGCAGACTCTTGTTCACACCATCTATCAAGACAATCTTGTAATATAATGAGCCTCCTCCAGATTGTATACCAAGGCTTGCCTGATGGTTCAACATAAAAAGCTTCTATAAAATACTTCCAAGATCTCTCTATATCAAAGTCACCAAGAGGGACTTCAACATTTGTAATTACTTTGATGCCAACTTTAGCTAACCCAGGAGCAGCAACAAGTAAACCTTTTAATGCTGCAATGGCTCGATCAGTGCTTGTCTTATACGCGGTCTTATCACCAGAAACGGCATTTAATGTATTCTTAATAAGTTTGAGAAAGTATCTAATATTGTAATTGCACTTAAAGTCTCCAATGCTTTTGTCTGATTTACTAAATTCTGCGTAGTCGGGTTTCCAAATTTCCCCTCCATGTTGCACGATTTTTGAATGAGCCTTCTTGTACAAAGAAGTGGCCTGTCTAATATCATCAAGAAACTGGCATGTAAATTGACATTCATTCTGAAACATTTGCTCAAGTATAATTATAATGATTCGTAATTGCCATTCCAATTTAATAACTGTTTCTCCTGAAAATACTTTGTCAAACTCTTGAGAACATAGACTGCTCACAGCTGTAGTTAGCATCTCTACTGACACAGACTCTCCTTCATGTTCGAGAATGTATTTGAGTGCGTAAACGTTTTCAGAAAATTTTAATCCCGTCAACAATCCCTTTATTTGCGTATCTGCTGACATAAATCCTTGTTCCATCAATTGAAGTATAATTTTCGGAAACCCGCCTTGATTTAGAGTGTTGTTCGGTATTGACGTAGAAGATTCCGTAGAGGGAGCGCTGGACGCACTTGCTGTCGGGAACATGTAGCTGGTTGTTGAGCTAGAATCCATCGAGTCAGGAATTGAGCTTTCGGATGTCTAGAAAATGACATGTAATAATTAATACACGCAAGCACGTAGTGTTTTTCGCATATTAATATGCTGTCTGTTTTCCTAACCTCATACGCCATTGTGTAGTCGTTCACTAATTCCTGCTGGTAATCAAATATCTCCCCCGACGACTTATTCCCTACTTCCGTACTTATATTAATATTGGCTAATTATTATTAAGTGTGACATATAATGCATCTGTTTGGTTACATTCTTAGGTATTAGAAATTTAACTTTCAAGTTGTGCTTCGCACGTGATGTGAAGATGAAGCCGCGGGAAATTTCGTAATAAAATTGTAGTAATAAAATTGAGTTGGCATACACGAACTGGCCGGTCATAAAATTAGGATTGGAGCGGCTGGTGTTACTCCAGAACCAATCAAAGTTTTCGAACAGCACGTGTTAAAGCATATTAATATACCCATTAGTCTCAGACGCGAAGTTTTTCAGTTTCCCTTCTACCAAATAACCCAAATAACAAGACGATGCCCAACAAGTGGAACGATTATTTTGACAAAGTTCAACCTAAAGACTACAGTTTTATTGGTTACTATGAACATCGTTCTAAGCAAACAGATTTTACATTTTCTTTTCAGAAGGAATCCTACGAGTTGAAAGCAGATTTTGACAATCTCATGGAACATGGTTTGCCAGAAACGAAAAAAGTCGTTAGTCAGCTGAACAAAATTTCAAAGTATGTGTGCATAGTTTTCTGTTAACTGACACTACGTTAGCAGAGGGAGCTCTCATAGTTACGGCGACAACGGAATGCTGTCTACCTTATGGTCGGAATGTCCGCTATGAGAAAATGGATACCCTTACAACTACGGGGACATCCGAATGTTGTCTACCTTATGGTCGGAATGTTTGTTGTACTGCTTTCGTAGTGTGCAAGTCCGTGTAAACCATGGGTTATGCTTTTACTAAGTAATTTGTTTATTGTTCTTGAGGGCCATCGTCTTACTTTTCACGACGTCAACGCGTTTTGGAATAAAATCGAACTGAACAGAAAGCTACAAGATTAGCTGGAGGCTGCAAAGGTTGTAGTTTTCTTGGTTGCTCTAATAAATTGGCGTTTATTAATTCGCTTTTTTTTTATCGATGCAGGTTGAAGCCATTAGTCCATTAATAAATATTACCAAAGAAACCTTTGCGACGATAATTGGAAACGTTCATTCTGCTGTTGAAAACGTCAACGATACACTGGTATGAAATACAATCTGCGATGACATTTGTTCACTTTACTAACGTATCATTCACAGAGGCTTACAGGAGGTGGGTCAGTAATAGCTACCAATAAGAAACGCGCTCATGGTGCTACTTCAGCTTCAGTGACAGAAGAATCCGCTAAAAGGCTCAAGATCAGGGCGATCCGCCAAGACGTAGTATAGAATATGTACGGCCTTCTTTATCAGCAAGTTCTTGATATATTTGCTTAACTTTACTATAACTTTTGTTTTTGCTTACTGTATTGCTCTCCTAATTAAAATCTGCTTTCTAAAGTCAAATGACTATGACATCGATAGACATGTGATGATAATGATAACACATTTGATGATGTGCTTTCAGAATGCATTGAGGATGATAATCTCGTAATGGACTTGAAATCAGTTGCCAAGCAACTCAATACATATACAAGCAGACGCCATTGGAGGAGGCAAACTACATGATCAGTTTTCTTTAAATTTATTGTCACGGATGATGCTGAAATCGGATGATGCTGAAACTCACGTGATGCATACTTATGTTATGTAATAAATAATAACG